CCAATGGGCGGCAGGGAACTAGCACAAAGACCCTTCTCACACATACAAGTAGATTTTACAGAATTGCCGAAAGTGGGGAGATATAAATATCTATTGGTACTGGTAGACCATTTAACCCATTACGTGGAAGCCTATCCTACTGCCCGAGCCATCTCAAACACCGTAGTAAAAGTGTTACTAGAACAAATTATTCCCCGATGTGGATTAATTGAATATTTAGACTCAGATAGGGGACCTCATTTCACTTCTAAGGTCGCAAAAGATGTTTTAATGGCCTTAGGAACCCAGTGGAAATATCACACTCGTGGCATCCACAGAGCTCGGGGAGAGTGGAAAGGATGAACGGGGAGATAAAAAAACAACTGACAAAATTGATGCTAGAAACCAAGATGTCATGGGTCAAATGTTTGCCTCAGGCTTTATTAAATATTCGAACTCAACCCCGAACTGATGTAGGAATCTCCCCATTTGAAATGCTATTTGGAATGCCTTATGATATGGAAGCCCCTACAGACCATCCGTGCTTGAAGGATTCCCAAATTAAGCATTATATCATACAAATTATGAGCCGAAGGCAGGAATTGAGGGAAAAAGGGATGTTGACACAGAGGCCACCTTTAGACATTACAATACATAAAATCAAACCAGGGGACAACGTGCTTATTAAATCCTGGAAAGAAAATTCTTTAACCCCACGTTGGGAAGGCCCCTTTGTTGTTCTGCTTACCACAGGAACTGCGATATGGACAGCCGAGAAGGGGTGGACACATGCCAGTCGAGTTAAAGGTCCGATCACCACAGATGACCAGTGGAAAGTGACCAGCCTGCCTGGGGATTTGAAGGTTACTATTAAGAAAAACCGATGAACTCTGTGTGTACCATTCAAGTTGATCACAAAGGGGAACAAAAGGGATATGATTACCTGCTTGTTAGTGATTATTTGATAATTTGTAATAAGGTAGATTGTGATTGTTATCCTTTTGTGTGCTTTGCGTGTAAAGTTTGCCAAGAACGGTGGTGGGTCCATTGCCAAAAGGGGAGGCCGCCAACTGGGGTCTGTACGGAATGCTATAAGGCTGAACGAAAGTTAACCAAAATTGTGTTAAAATTAGGGGAATTGGAAAAACAGTGGGTTCGTTTTGAGTCTGAGGATTGGTGGAAAATATACACAAAAGGAGTGCATCCAGGAAACTTTTGTTTCCATACTAACGAACCCACTCCATTTGTTGCCCAAATTATAAAAGGGTGTTGTCGGAGGGAACTAAAGGGGGTCCCGTGTGACCCACCCCCAGTCAAGGATAAAAATAGGGAACAGTGCGAAGTTAGGCAGGAGCAGGGGAAGGGACGCCCAGGCGAGTACCGCTGCTGCCGAGAAGATGGTTCACTGTGGAAAAAATGACGGGAGACAAGTCCATTCTATAATGTCAACAAGTCTCAGTTTATTTCAAGCACACATGTATAGTTATACCCGTTATAATGAAGCTCATGCATATTGCAAAATTTAAGCTCATCATTGGTGTATGAAAAACAGGTCAACCCCGCCTTTGGAGCTTTCTAAGCTTGCTTTGTTTTCCCTTACATTTATCTTTTTGCTGAACATTCTACTGTTGGGAACCAGCTTAGCCAAGGACATAAGATATTATTGCTACATCTGCTATTGCTGCACTGTGCAATTTTCAGCTACTACTTCACTAACTGCACGTAGTCATGTCCTTTCTCACGAAGCCATTCTTCCACAAAACTCTCCATAGTTCACCTCGCGGCTTGAAGCAACCGGGTCAGCGAGCGAGGCAGAGGGGAAAAAGCCAGGTCCCCCCGCAATGGAATAATGCTGAAATGCTCCAACTATTGCCAACCGAGTACTAGGTTCCCCTGGACAACCCGTCTGATTGCCTCTGAAACACCAAAAAGGCAACAAACCCAAAAAGGGAAAACAGGATATTATGCCATAAAAACAAGGTCAGGACCCCACCCTTATTGGCAGATTATAAGTATTTTAATGCTTTGTATTATACATAAAGGGGAGGGTTCCCCGGCTCTGCACCAGCCCTTTAAGTGGACGCTAACTGGAATAGATGGCAGGGTAATTCGGAGTCAGATAACATCTGGACCCCCTATTTTTACCCCACAGATATGTGAACTAGCCCCTGTAGAGCCCTGTTTTAATACCGCAGGATTTTACATGTGTCCAGCATCGAACCCAGGAAAGGGGTATTGCAATTACCCTGGAGAATATTTCTGTGGGTACTGGGGGTGTGAAACAATAGCCTCAGACTGGCAGGCAGCAGGAGATAAATTTCTTAAAGTATCATGGGGACCCTATGGGTGTACACCTCCACAAAAGGATTCTAGTGGTGCCTTCCTGGGCGGGTGGAAAGGGAGTTGCCAATTTGTGCATTTAAACATAACTGAGCCCATAGACCCAGGATAGATGTTGGGAAGATCATGGGGCTTTCGATATTTGGAACCTGGAAAAGACAGAGGGAGCGTATTTATCATAAAGAAGGGGCCTGTACCAGCAGACACACAGGCTGTGGGCTCTAATCCTGTAATAGCTGGAGATTTAACAGCTAGGAACCTGATAACGGATAGCCAAACTACAACTCCTACAACACCGCCAAGTGGGGATTCCCGGTTTAACACTCTCTGGAAGTTAGTTGAGGGAGTATATAAAGTCTTAAATGCTACTCAGCCAGAATTAACAGAACACTGTTGGCTCTGCTTTGATATTAGGCCTCCATTTTACGAAGCTGTAGGGATATCTGAAAAAGCGAGACGTCTTAATGGTAGCAATCCCCCGCAATGTAATTGGAAAGATTCCCGGGGTAAAGGAATGACTTTGGCTTCAATAACAGGAAGGGGATGATGTAGAATACCCACACACCTGGAATATTTATGTGAGATTGTTACTAAAGCTAAACAGGAAGATATTCCAGCTAAATGGCTAGTTCCCGCTAAAAACACCATGTGGATCTGCTCAAAAGGAGGATTCACCCCCTGCATTTCCTTAGAAATATTTAATGAAACCTCTGACTATTGTATACAGGTAGCTGTGATTCCAAAAATTATCTATCACCCCAACGAAAATATGTATAATGTAAAAAACATCCCAAAACACCATATACAAAAACGAGAGCCTTTGACTGCACTTACAGTGGCAGTTTTAATGCTTGCAGGGGGAGCAGGTGTCGGTACAGGAGTAGCCTCCCTAGTAAAACAAACAAAGGAGTTTAATTCCCTGAGGATTGCTGTAGACAAAGATTTGTAACGTATAGAACAATCAATATCAGCATTAGAAAAATCAGTAAGGTCCTTATCGGAAGTAGTTCTGCAGAATAGAAGAGGACTAGATCTGTTATTCTTACAACAGGGAGGACTGTGTGTGGCCCTCCGGGAAGAATGTTGTGTCTATGCAGACCACACTGGGGTGCTATGAGACACCATGACAAAACTGAAAGCAGGACTTGAGAAAAGGGAAAGAGAGACCCAGCAGAGCTGGTATGAGACCTGGTTTAATCACTCTCCTTGGTTAACTACCTTGCTATCTACAATTGCGGGTCCTTTAATATTATTAGTGTTAGGATTAACATTTGGCCCATGTATATTCAACAAGGTAATTGAAATAGTAAAAAGAAGATTAGAAGCAGCACACCTGATGCTAATCAAAGCCAAATATGAAACTCTCCCTGGAGATCCTGAGGTAGAAGATACTTTGATTCTAGCCCACCAAGAAATAAAACGATTTGATGAACAAAATGATAAAAGATGAAATGGGGAATGTGAGAAACTGCATTGAATTGTTTGTTCATCAAAAATATAAAATTAGGATAAAAGGGTTGGGGGGTTGGGGCATGGAATTTGCAGGCTTGGGCAAGGCTGGTAACCGCAAACAAAGATTGTGAAAGATCTTGCAGGACTGGCTGGAACTGATAACCGCAGTGGAAGGAGATCCATCGCCTCCACTTGTCAAACAAACTACTGCTGGGACTGATAACCATAGTGGAAGGAAACCCATCACCCCCACTTGTGCTGGATAAAAAGGGACTGAAGAGAAGAAAGGTTGTCAGCTTTTGGCGGAGCCAGGCTCCCAGCTGAACCCAGCACTGTTTTGCTTGCTATTGCTTGCTGTAATTAATAAAATTATTAACTGATCTTAAAAGGCTGAATCAAATTATTCGCCTCAATTTATAACACAGGCTATAGGGTCAGAAAATTCCTTTAATATTTGGCCCATATCCTCCCATTTCCCACACCACTCAGGATTTCTCACACCTGCGTCTACTCCTGGGTCAGAGGTCTCTTCAGCCCCTCTAGAAATCTCAGTCCTCATTCTAGAGAGACTGCAGACTGTATAGAGAAAGCTTACCAGATTAAACACCAGGAAGATGGTCTCTTTAACAGTCAGGGGAAACACAACATTCTCCAATAGGGAGGTAACAAATTCAGAGGAGAAGAAGGAAAGCAAAGGCTGAAAAACCTCATCCCCTGCTTGTCCTCTAACAAACTGGCTGTACAACCAAAACCATGAACCATACATTGCTGGAACAGACTCCAGCACCTTTATAAACCCCCTGCAAGCCATGACACCCAAGCCCAGCCCAATGGATATTCTGGTCAGTGCCCCTCTGCTGCAAAAACTGTGTATTAGGGACAATACCAGAGCTATTTCTGGATAAGAAAAGAAACCTAGGAACCATAGAGGTATGATGACCTCAAAAAACACTAGGGACCAGAAACACATGCAAGCCTCCACCCAAGAGATAATATGAATTCAGAGAACATAGCTACTAACTGCTCTATACCAACACCAAATAATTGCAATCAAAATACAATTAAAACAGAGTTTTTTCCACTTTCTCAAGCCCCACATTGTACACAAAATATTTGTCCTGGGTTAGGGCAAATTTGGGAGAAAACCTCCAGGAGGAGCCCCACCAGACAGCAAACCCCCATGGCCCCTCTCCCCCACCTGGTCTAGAAAGAATTTACTTAGAGAGAAGTGGAAAAAAAGTGTCAGTTTATTTAACAGACAGAAACACTCCCTGGCACAAGAACAACACCAGATGACAAAAACTCTTTCACCACTCTGAAGAGATGACAAATTCAGAAAGTCTCTCCTGGGAGTGGTCATCCAGTTCTCGGTCTCCGGCGCTGGGGATGGCTGCTGCAGGTCACAAAACACAGGTTCTTGGTGCTTCTCAGTGTTTCTCAGGTCCCAGTCTGGAGCAGGTTCAAATGGTATTCAGGAAAGGGAAAGAAAAAACAGCCCAGGGGAAAAAAAATGGAGTGCCTAGCTAAACAAACTAATAAGCAAAGCAAGCGCAAAAGCAAAAAAGCAGGAGTGAGAGCAAAGCAAAAGCAAGCCAGGAAGCAAGTAAGCAAGCCCTATCCTCTCTCCTAGACACAGACCTTAGGGGGAGGTGAGCCTGCTGATAACAAGACAAAACAAACCTTCACTTTTTGAAGCCAGTCCTGAAGGCACAGAACATAACATCAAGCATAAACAGAACACATGATTGCGGATACAATCACCATAACATCACCCTAGGACACTTCCCTTCCCCCACCCAGCCAGTTGCTGGGCAGGGGAGGTCTGGACTCTTCACTAACTGCAACAAAAGAGAGAGTGTTCCCCTGGGCATTCTCTGCTTTTAACCCCCTGTGTTTTCAGAGGCGTGTCCAGGTCTTCAGTGGTTACACTAAGTGTCAGTATTCAAAACTGACGACTGATTAGTGTGACCACAACTTCTCGAGAAAACTCACTTATGAACCTATGACAAGTGAGCTCTGCTGTGTGCTCCCAGCCCAGGCTTAGTTTAACCCATCTGTGCTGTGCCCGGGCTGGCTGCAGGCAGTGCCCCAGCCCTGCTGGGCTGTGCCCAGGAGCTGCTCCTGGTCAGAGCTGTCTCTCTGCAGTGCTGTCCTTGCCAGGAGTTCTTTGTGTCAGGAGTCCGGCCCAGCTCAGCAGCACAGACACAGCACAAGGGCTTTGTGACCAACTTCAATGACAGCCCCACAAGATCACCTTGGCTGAAGATTGCAGCCGTGAGACTGAGAGTGAGTGACTGAGTGGCAGAGAGCTGCCAGGGGTTTGGGCTTTTGATTTTCTGTTCCTGTGGGCGGGCATCCATTGGGACCAGCTATGGGAAATATTCAGTCCCGAGCTGAAAAGAATGTTTTTGTTAAGTTTTGGTGTTATGAACAAAACAGCCTGGCTGGGACACTTTAGCTCAAGCTAAGTACGGACATTGAAATGTTAATTAGATAATTGCTCCTGGTAATCACCTACACCCCCACCCAAACTAGGACTGGGATGCAAAATAAGCCAGTGGAATCATGGGAGGGGGTTTTGGGGATGAAAAACACGCCAAAATGAAAAAGAGGGGCACAGTGGAGGGGGCTGGATGGGTGTGCTGGTTGGGGAAAAGGGAACCCCATCCCTAGTCTGTGTTTGACCTGTCACCATAACCTGCTGAGGAACAGACTGGACTGGGATGTGGGAAGCAGGCGCAAGGAAATCAGACACTCTTCCTGGTGTTACCAGGAAGGAAGGAGAGGGATAGCTGCTGCTGGACTTTGGCATCAGGCTCTGCACATCCCCCCACCCTTCGGCTACCAGTGTGCCAGGAGGAAGGGAAAGAGGATGGTCTGCTGATGGGGACTTCAGATGCAGACTGGACACCTCTTCACCTCTGGCTCCCAGCGTGCCACAGAGACTCCAGAGATAGACTCTGCAGCCTTCTCACCCTTCGGCTACCGGAAGAAGCTACAACACTCCCCTGCCGAGCTGACTTTTTAATAAAGAGCTGAACACTAATAAAGGCATAAACCCTGTTCATTTCATTTGGGAAGTTTTAAAATTAGAGAGGAGTTAGTTTTCTGAGGGGAGTTTAGAATGTTTTGTTCACTTGTTGTTTAAGTATTTTCCTGCTATCTGTTGATTCTGTGTATCAGTTAGTTTTGGATGCTGTTGGGGAAAAGCTTTATATTTTACACACAGAAGGGATGTTGAAAGTTTGCAAATTTTGTCTATTGTTTAATTTAATTTATGGGATCATTTAATGAATTCCTGCTTCCAACCCTTTGAACTGGTTTGTTCAATCTGCCCTCCACGTTCCCAAACCCACATTCCCTAAGAACAGGATGGGAGATGGAGCCTCCACTTTGGCATAGATGAGCCATTTGCCGCCTGCCATCTCCCCTCCTTTTTTGTCCTCTCCTCAGGGTGGTAGTGGCCATGCTGCCCTGAGGTCTTCCTTTGCTTACGTTCCTGCATCCCCTAGTCCTAATCCCCCTTCCTAAAAACCACAAGATGGTGGCACTTCTGTGAGAGAGACCGCCATTTTAGATTCTCTCCTGCCTTCATCTCCATTTCCTGCCTTTACTCCAGGTGTCTCCCCTGTGACAGGTCCCACCTTGATATCAAGTTCCACCCCTATGTCGGGTCTGTCTTCTGTCATCAGAAAACTCTTCTCCAACGCCAGCTTCGCCTTCCCTCTTCTGGGTCCCTCCTCCAGTCCAGGCTTTTCCAGTTCCCATGTCAGTGGAACCAAATGTGGCACCGACCAGAAGTAGACATTTTGGCTACCAAAGGCCTTTGACACCGGGCATTGTCGGTTGCCAGAAAGGCCCATACCTCTGCCAGTAGACCTGCTTGACCCACTGAGGAAGAGAGTGATAGCTTATGTGAGAGTGAGGATGAGCCTGGGGATTATAGGCAGAGGATGTGGAGAAGACGCAAAGGAGGAGGACTGGGAGATGGTATCCAAGATTCAGGTAGCACCTGTGCACTATAAGCGGGGGACAAAACCTAAATGGGAATCTATTCTCCACAGGGAAACAAAGGATTTACTAGTAAAGGAATTAGATTATGGGAGGAGTTTACCCTATTTGAACAATTTGCTGGATGCAACATTTACCACCCACACAATTGTACCATATGATTTAAAACAGTGTATGAAAATTATAGTGTCACCTGCCAAGTTTATTTTGTGGAAAGGACTGTGGATAAATAAACTTGATGAGTTACTAAAAGGTTATGTTAAGGAGGAAGGGCAACAACATCTTGCAATGGACCACATTACTGGGGAAGGAGACTATACCAGACCACAGTATCAGGCTGAAGTCCTCCCCTGGTCAGTACTGGAAGATCTCAAAGCCACTGCATGATCCACCCTCCTCCAAACACCTGACCCTTCTACTCCCCACATTGAATTCACCAACATTTGCCAGGGCCTGGATAAGAACTATATAAAGTTTGTAGATTGCCTTATGAAAGCACTGGAAAAACAGTTAAACAATCAAAAGGTCTGAGATGAACTTATTCGCAAATTAGCTTTCTCTAATGCCATTATTGACTGCAAAAAGGTTCTGCATACCCTCCCCCCCCTTGAACCATAGCTGACCATCGCTCAGATGGTCGACACTTGCATCCACCAAGCAGTGTCAGACCGTGACTCCAGCCTAGGAGTCAAGGCACCAGCTGGGGTGCAATGGAAGCACTGTTTGCAGCAAAAGCACTTTCCCACAATACAGAACATAATAAAGGCAGGGGAAACTGTTCTAACTGCAGGAAGCTGGACATGTGGCAACAGACTGTAAATACAAGAATAACAACAATTCTCATTTTCCACCAAGCCTTCATTGCACAGCAATTGCCTGAAATGTTGCTGAAGCCAGCAGCACCAGCAGTCCTCAGGAAACTCCCAGCAGAGCACAGAGCAACCCTGTGCAATGACACCAAATACAAGGTCGTTCTGTCCCACATTTCCATCAGTGATAGCAAATCAACATGTAGAGCTTGTCCAGTCTATTGGGACTGGCCCATCTCCTCAGAGGAGCTTGGCCTGTGTCATGCCAGGGACCCAAAGGCAATTGGTAAGTGTTTTTTCCATTCAAATTGATGACATCTACAGTCACAAAATTCTGATGGGCAAGTATGGGCCACAAGACGTGCCCAGAGACGTTTTGATTTTAGTGGGCACTAGAGAGGGCATGGAAGGCCTGACCAGTATACCTGAAGTTTTAACTGTAACATCATTACAGGTAATGTGTTAAAAACCTTCCCATATTTATACCAAAAGGAATGGTGGTTGCACAAGCTCACCTCCTTCAAATCGGGATGGAAAATCCATCCAGTCCTCTTGTAATGTGGAATAGGTTTATGGGCCATGACAGACTAGTAGTAGAGTGCGCCTAAGGGAGCATCTATCAGGACTATTGGATACCGGGGCAGAGGTTACTATCACTTCACACTCCAAGTGGCCAGAAGAATGGCCTGTGGTTCTAGTTTCAGGGGTTATTTCAGCTATGGGTGGAACAACAAGAAGTTTCAGGTGTTGAGATACCATCTGTTTCCAGGCCCAGAAGGTAGGACTGCCACCATCAGATCTTTCATGAAAGGGGCACCTGTCACGCTTTGGGGCGGGATCTGTTGTCCCAGTGGGGGACTCATCTAGAAATCCTTAAGTCACCACAGGTTTTCCAGTAGGGGCCACTGAGCAATGTGCCACCCTGCAGCTCTCTTTTAGAAGCTGGAACAGCAGCTTCTGAAGCCTCTTTCGGAAGCTGGAACAGCAATGTGAGGTCTTCTGTTATAATTCCCAGCAGAGAACAAACCCAGCTGATGCTCCCACAAAGTTCCTGGAGTTCTTACAGGGTTCTGGGATTGTCCTTGATGTTGAATGGCTGGGGTAGTTCAGAGGGCAGAAAATTCAGTTCTAAAAGAAGATTCCAACCACAAACTGTACTTTCTCACTTAGTTTATATGTTATTCCATCGAGGTAGTCCTTATTATGTTACGCACACTTGATCACACACCAATCTCCCTGGTTTTATAGCTGAGGGAAATAGGTGAGCTGATTCTTTGGCAATGATAGCACAGAACTGTGGGAAGATTATGCTCCTGGACGGTGGGGGTGTAGGGAGGCAGAGATCTCTGAAGCTTGCTCTTGGGGAAAGAGGTTTATTGGGGGTGTAGGAAGGTCTGAGCCTCGTGCTATCGTAGCACGAGGCCAGGCTTAAGAGGACGGGGGAGGGGAGAGACAAACGGTAGGAGAGGGGAAGCCCCAGGAGGGGAAGAGGGGAGGAAGTCCCAAGAGGGGAGGAGAGGGCCAAGAGGGGAGGAAGTCCAAGATGGGGGAGAGGTTCTAAGAGAGGGAGGAAGTCCAAGAGACCGCATGGCCCCTCGGAGCTCCCTTTTCAGGGGCTCCTAGATGGGCCGGGACAAGGCATGGGCCAATGGGGTTACAGACATTGATGTTTTAGGGGCAGGTACAGAGGTGTGGGATGAGCCATACAATCTTTTGGGGGGTGGGATGGAACAGTCCATTTCACTCCAGGACTCATCTAAGGGCAGAAGTGACATCCGGCTAGCTGAGAGAACAATCATATCTATCTATCATCTGCAACACAGAACACCTTGCAAATATTTTTCAACAAGCAAAAATAAGTCATGGATTCTTCCATCAAAATGTGCCTGCCCTAGTTCAAATGTTTAAAAAGTCTTGAGACCAAGCCAGGACAATTGTCACCACCTGTCCCAATGGTCAATCCAAGCCCCTTTCATCTATCA